CGTACCTAAGCTGTAGGACAGCAGCGCAGCCCCGAGGGGCGGGGCATGCGGCCCCAGGGCCCTCCCACGTCCGGAGTGGTCGGCGGCATCCTGGCGAAGCATCTCCACGAGAAGTGGCTGCCGGACGCTATCCCCTAACGCGGCCACTGAAATGACACAGTGACAGTTACAGAAAAGAGAGGACAACTAAGGGGAGAAAACGGACTCAAAAATATTCAATCCGAAGGAAGTCAGGAGAAGAGGACAAGGGACCAGTGGGGAGGAAACAGAGGCAGACAGACCGGAGCCTGAAACTACACCGATTACCCCTTCGACCGCGAGTCATCGAAGCCGGACATCCCGGGACATTGCCAAGGCCTTCTTCACTGTCACCAGGGTCCTCATCTACTCCAGGGTCCCACGCTGCATTTAGTTGTTTCTCCCTAGTCTTTTCTAATCCATAACCACCACTCAAGCTTTCCTTGTCTTTTATAACCTCTTCTTTTTTGGAGCGTACTGATCGGTCACTTCGTAAAGGTCTTTCCATTAGAGCATGTCTGGAGTGCTCTCACGATTGCAGAGTGTGCGTCTGGGGGCAAGCACACCACCAAAGTGACGCTGTGGCTGTCTCAGCCGACTCACCCAGAGCTGTATGACGTCTGTCTGCCTTATACTAGTGGTACTGGCTTTGGCCACAAAGTGAGGCGGTTTCTGCTGGATTTCTTCACTGTAAAGTTATTATTATTTCCCCCTTTGTAGTAAGTCAGTATATTAAGGAAGCTACTTGCATGCTACAGAAATCCTGAAAGAAACTAGGCATAAGATGCTCGAGGTTAAAAGTAAAAGGATGGAAGAAGGTAGCCCATGCTAACTTTTAAAAAAAGATTTTATTTATTTGTTTTTAAAGGGAGGGGAAGGGAAAGAGAGAGAGAGGGAAAGAAACACAAAGGTGTGGTTGCCTCCCGAGTACCGCCCATCGGGGACCTGGCCTGCAACCCAGACATGTGCCCCAGCTGGGAACCGAACCAGCAACCCCCTGGTTCTCAGACCTGTGCTCAATCCACTGAGCTACACCAGCCAGTCCTAGCCAATGCTAACTCAATGAAAAGACAGCTGGATTGGCTGTTAGTGTCAGAGCAGAGTTCAAAACAAAGAATCTGGGGATAAGAAGGGTCACTTCACAATGATAAAGTGGCCACTTAATCAAGAGGACACAATCTGCATGTAGGTTTCAAAATGCACAAAGCAAAAACAGAACTGCAAGGAGAAAGAGATCATCTACAATCATAGTCAGAGGCTGCAACATCCCCTTCTCAGTAATTAATAGAGCAAGTGGGCAGAAAGTCAGTCATAATAAGAACACTCAGCAGGCTTGACCTCATCAACATTCCACTGAGCAACAATGCAGCTCACATTTAAGGGTACATATACCAATTATTAACACAGGCCATATTCTAGGCCATAAAATCAGTCTGGACAACTTTAAAAGGGTCCAAAACACACAGAGTGTATTCTCTGACAACAATAGATTTCAATTAATAATAAAAAACAGAAAGATCTCTGGAAAATAGCCACATGTCTGGAAACAAAATAACACACTTCTAAATCAATAGCTCAAAAATATCAAAAGGCAAATTAGAAAATATTTTTAACTTAATGACTATGAAAATGCAACATATCAGAATTTCTGGGATGCATCTAAAGCCTGACATAGAGGGAAATTCATAGCTTATAACAAAGAAGAAGGTCTCAAATTAGTGACTTAGCTTCCACCATAAGAAACCAGAAAAAGGAGAGAAAGTTAAACCCAATGGAAGCAAAAGAAAGAATACAGATCAGAGTGGAAGCCGATAAAAAAGGGAAAACAGTAGAGAAATCAGTGAAACTGAAAACTTGCTCTTTGCGACCATCAATAAAATCGACAGACTCCCAACCTAATCAGTAAAAGAAGAGAGAAAACACAAACTACTAACATCAAGAATGAGAAAAGTGACATTATTTTATAATGAAAGATTAATAACAGAATATTACGAACAACTTTATGCTGATAAATCCAACAACTTGGATAAATGGACAAACCATCAATATTCAATCAAGGAAAGCAAATAGCCTCAGAATCTCCATCTCTATTAAATACTATAACAACATACAAAATGGTAATACCACATGACTTTGAGTTAGAAAAAAATTTCTTGTGTTTTATCCCAAGGAGAGAAGGTTGACTTAACACTTGAAAATCAATCAGTATAATCCACCATATTAACATATTTTTAAAAAAAGATTTTTAATAGATGCAGAAAACATTTCACAAAGTCCAACGCCCATTCCTAATAGAAACCCTCAGCAAACAAGTAATGGAAGGGCACTTCCTCGCACTGTGAGGGGCAGCTGCACAAAACCCACAGCCAGCACTGTCCTCAATGGTGGAAGACCGAGTGCTTCCCCCTGAGATCAGGAAGAAGGGCATGTGCTCCCACTCATGGTCAGTATTAAACTAGAGTCTCCAGCCAATGCAATTGGGCATGAAAATGAATTTAAAATACATTCAGACTGGAGAGAAAGAAGTCATAATCTTTTTATTTACGGAGAACATGATTGTATAGATAGAAAAATCCTCAGGTATCTATTAAAAAGTTACTAGAACTAACAAGTGAATTTAGCAAAGTTAAGATCAGAATATAAAAATCAACTTTGTTTCTACATATTAGCAATTAAAAACCAGAAATTGAAAAAAATGCTATTTACAGTAAATAAAATATCAGAGATGAATCTGACAAAGGGTGTCCAAGATCTGTAAGCCAGAAACTACAAAACCCAGATGGAAGAAATCAAGGAAACTCCAAGTAAATGAAAAGATATACCATGTTCATGAATTGGAGACTCAATATTGTCAAGATGTTAATTCTCTCAAAGTCCAACATCCATTCCTAATAGAAGCTCTCAGCAAACAAGTAACAGAAGGGCATTTTCTCACACTGTGCAGGGCAGCTGCAAAAACCCCACAGCTAGTATTGTATAGATTCGACACAATCCCACATAAAATCCCACTAGGCTTTTTTAGTAGAAGTTGACAAGCCGATTCTAAAATTCACGAGGAAATGCAAAGGATCTTGGATGACTAGAGACATTTTATGAAAGAACACATTTGGAAAATTTCTATTCAACATCTCCTGATTTCAAGGGTTATTATAAAGCTCAAGCAATGAAGACAGCTTGGAACATTGGCATAAAATAGGCAAATAGGCCAATTGAACAGAGGAGGTAGAGAAACAGACTCATACATGTATGGACCACTGATTTTCAACAAAGGTGCAAAGGTGATTCACTAGTGAAAGAATAATTTCTCCAGCAAACGGTCCTGGCACTCTGGCACAAAAAATAAACTTGGAATTATAGTTCATACCATGCACCAAAACAAGTTCAAGCTGGAGAATAAGCCCACACACAAAAGCTAAACTATAAAAGCCCTTGTAACTTCAGTTAGGCAAAGATTTCTTATATATGACACGAACAGCATGATCTGTGTGAGAAAAACTTGATACATTGGACTGTCAAAATTAAAAACTTCCTGTGGAAACGACCCACAGACTCACAGAAAATATTTACAAGTCATGTATCTGAAGCAGGACTTGAATCCAGAATGTATAAAGAGCTCTCCAAAGGTAACAGTAGGAAAACAACCTAAAGGCAGGTAAAAATCGGAACGGAGCACTCCCGTAAAGGAGATGGCACATAAACAGAGGAAAAACCATCATTAGTCACCGGGGAAGCACAAATGAAAACTGCACCGAGATGCCACCACACACCTATTAGAATGCCTAAAATGTAAAAGGTTGACCGTGTACCCAGTGCCGGTGCGGGTGTGAGCACACACCATCGGCAGGGACGGAAGGTCACGCAATCATTCCGTCAGCTTCCTTCAGATCAAACACACAGCTACATGCGACCCAGCCATCCCACTCCTAGATGTTTACCCCAGAGAAATAGGAGCGTTTGTCCAAACAGAGGTAGCACACAGTGTTTGTATCACTTTATTTGTAATAGGTAACAACTGGAAACAGCCCAAATGACCATGAACTGGCAAAGGGATATGCCAACTGGGACCTTTGCAGGAAGGCTGACGAGTCAGCACTAAAAGGAGTTAGCTTGATAAACACATCAGCGCTGGTGAGCCCAAAATAACAATGCTGAATGAAAGAATTGAGGCAAAAAGGTGCATACCTGTGATTCCACTTAAATAAATGATAAGAAACGACAGGTGATCTACGGTGCTTGCCAGGCCGTGGGGGGACCGAGGGAGTGCCAAGGGGCGGGGTGGGGGGAGGCACTGGGGTATGTACTGAATGAATTATGGTGGTGGTTTCACGAGCCTATATAAATGTCGAAAGGTATCAAATTTAAATATGTGGTTTCTTGTATATCAATTACACCACAATAAAGCTGCTTTTTAAAGGTCTAGGATGGCTGAGGCCTAGCTTAAATTGCCCCACCTCCACACTCCCTACCCTCCTCAAGGCCCACAAGCACCAGCCTACGACGCAGGGGGTGGGGGGCTGAGCCGGGGGTGGCGGGGAGTAAGGGTCCTGGGGGCAGGAGGGGACTCAAGTGGGCAGAGGCCTAACCCTACTAACCAGTTTTGGGGGCCGCTGGCATCAGGCCTGCGAGGGACACACAGCAAGAAGAACGCACCGCAAATGCTTCAGGATGATCAGAGGGTCTCCAAGTACCAGCGTCTGGAGGGGACTCGCCCCACCGCGCAAAGCTGGGTGGAACCGGGTGGGGCGGGGCTCAGTGTCCCCACAGCCCCGCCCATAGTCCCCGAGACACACCCACCAGAGGATCCACCCCCAGCTTCGACCCACTCCTTGCCACTGGGTACACCCCAGGTCCCCCCTTACCCCCCCGCATCCCCCCACCTCCCCGCCCCGCTCGGTCCTGCCTCTACAGTCGCACCTCAGGCTCCACCCCTCGCTTTGACTCCCGCGTCGTCCAGGCTCCGCCCCGCCCCCCAGCCCCGCTTCCCCGAACCCTCAGATCACGGCCGAGCAGCGTGTGTCAGAGCCCTGGCGGACGTGGGAGCGAGCCTCGGGTCGCCACCGCGCCCGGGTGTGGCGCTCAGTCGGGCTCGGAGAAGCGGAGAGTCTGGCGCTGAGCAGCCTCAGGAAGTGGCCCTGCAGGTAAAGCCCCCGCCCCTCCCAGGAGTGTGGACACCGCGCCCCTGTCTGTTTCCCGCTCCGGGTCCGGGGTCCGAGCCCAGCCAGCCCAGGCCCCGCTCAGCCCCACCGCTGCACGCCTCAGCGCCGCGCGCGCCCAGGGCTGGGCTTTTCTCTTTTCTCCTTTTCCTTCCTTTTCAAGCATTATCGAAAGAAAAGGCGCTGACCCCGGTGCAGGTGCTAGGTAGCGTTCCTATTAGGGCCGACAGAGAAGAGCTTTATTTATTATAATAATTTTTAAGGGTTGTTAAAATTAGCAAAGTGCTAAACTTCCTACCGCAGCCTGGCTGGGAGTGATGAGCGCCCTGCTGGTTCCCAGTGATTGTGGATTAGGGGTGTGGAGGGGGGGCTGCCTTCAGTCTTCCTCATCCCCTGAGGGGCTGGAGGCGGTGGACCCCAGGCCGTCATCCCCCAGTGCTGTCCAGGCCCCCGGTTCTAGGTGTGTAGAGGGTGTGTCCAGGATAGGCCGCAGTCTCGCACCACCATTTTGATGGGTGCCTGCCCCTAGCCAGTGGTCAGCAGACCTGCCCCTTGCACTTCTGGGGGGGCACTGGGAGTGCCCAGAAATAAGCTACAGAGACCCCCCTCCCCACACCAGTCAGAGGCTTCAGTTTGCATATCTCCCAGAAGTCAAAGCGTGCCCCAGGTCCCAGCTGAGCCACCGGGGACCATGCCTGAAAGAGATCACTGTTTTTCCTGGCAGGTGAGGAGCAGGAGTTCACGTCCACGTCAGATGGTCACTTGCACAGCGGCGGCCAGGGGAGTGGGGAAGAGGGCAGGCCCACAGCGCTGAGCCGGAGGAGCGTGCCGTCTCCCCCTGGCGCAGGATGGGCCCCATGGGCAAGCAGAGCCCCTCACCCGTGCCAGCCCCTGCGGGAGGGTCTTGCCTCCTCCTCCTCTTCTGCCTGCGCCTGGGCACCTCCTGTCCCCAGAGCTGCCAGTGCCCTGACCACGAAGGGGCAGTGGCCGTCCACTGCAGTGGGAGCGGCCTGCAGGAGGTCCCCAAGGACATCCCCACCAACGCTGTGCTCCTGAAGCTCGACGCCAACAAAATTGCCCGCGTCCCCGACGGAGCCTTCCAGCACCTGAGCCAGCTGAGGGAGCTGGACTTGTCTCGGAACGCCATCGAGACCATCGGGCCGGCGGCCTTCTCCGGCCTGGCGGGGGGCCTGCGGCTGCTCGACCTGTCGCACAATCGCATCCGCAGGATCCCCAAGGACGCCCTGGGCAAGCTCAGCGCCAAGATCCGCCTGTCCCACAACCCCCTGCACTGCGAGTGCGCCCTGCAGGAGGCCCTGTGGGAGCTGAAGCTGGACCCCGACTCGGTGGACGAGATCGCCTGCCACACCTCCGTGCGGGAGGAGTACGTGGGGAAGCCGCTGATCCAGGCGCTCGACGCTGGCGTCAGCTTCTGCAGCACCCACCACAAGACCACCGACGTGGCCATGCTGGTCACCATGTTCGGCTGGTTCGCCATGGTGATCACCTACGTCGTGTACTATGTGCGCCAGAACCAGGAGGATGCCAGGAGGCACCTGGAGTACCTGAAGTCGCTGCCCAGCACCCCCGTGTCCAAGGACCCCCTCAGCCCCGAGCCCTAGTGCCCGCTGAGTCTCATCGCTGTGTGGCAGGTGGTGACTGACGCATGCTTCTGGTGCTCCCTCGAGCAGGTGGCAGTCACAGCCGCTTCCGTGCAGGGCGCGCTCTGACAAAACACGTCCCCCAGTGGCACTGAGTCACTGCGGCGCCCTTCCATCGGGTACGGTTAATGCCAGGCCCACGGACGGCGGGGAGAGAGTGGCACTTGGAGAAATGGAGTGACTTGCCCATGGTGACACGGTCAGGGGATGGTCCAGTCGGGACTTAACACCAGGCCATTGGTCACGATGTCCCTTCCACTCGGCACGACTCTCCCACGCGGCACCCGAGGGAGCAAGTGCACCCAGAGGAGGAAGGCTCGTGTCCGAGGGTGTGAGTGTCCCCCGTGGAGGACTGGGGTGCAGACTCACCTGTGGAAGGCACAGGTGACCCAACACTGTGGAACGGCCTCGCCCCCGTTTCGCTCGTGTTGCCCGGACCCGTCTGACCGCAGCACTCTTCCCAGAACTCAGCGGTAGAGCCCGGATGGTTCTGGAGAGGGAAGGGAGTGAAAGGGGTTGCTCAAACTGACCTTTGAACAATGGTGTTTATTCTCGGAATGTTTGCGAAGAGAGACACTTGTGCCCAAATTTCAGCCCCGTGAGAGGGGACAAAGAACCCCAAACCTGAAACCAAACACCGTGGAGAGAACCCGTCCGACACGCCGACTCCCACCCTCTGTGTGCCTGGCGTGTGCGAGGGCCTGTCATCTGTGCTCACCTCCGTGCCTTGCTGTTCTCTCTCCGACACACCAAGCAGCTCCTTCCAAAGGGCAGGGGGCCCGGTGTTCGATGTCTCAAGGCCAATCAACGGGACCCCTTTCTCCAGCAGCGGGCTCTTGCTCCCTCTTGCTCTCTCTCTCCACCTTTGCTGCCAGGACTCTCAGAGCTAATTCAGTGCTCGGTTTTCTTACCTGCGTAACTTCAGGGTAGACATTACCTCCACCTATATAACTCTGATTCGTCTTTCCAGTTTTACTCGTTGCTGTCTTTTGTATGTGTTTATAGTTTACACGGCTTCACATATTTGGGTGGCTGGGGATACACTGGTATGAACTGCAGGTAGAAAGGACAGGAGCCTCATCCAGCAGAAGCTCGGAGACGATTAACAGTGGAGGGTGGTTTGTACTCGGAAAGTAAGGAGTGACTTGGGGGGAACGGACATGGTGTCGCCTTTACCCGTTGGTCAGGACACCGAGCAGCTGCCTCTGGTGCCAGAAAGGCTCGTTGGAACATGGTTGTGATGTCCCAGACGTGGCGCATTCAAAGGAAACCATCGGCAGGTTACAAACACCCTCTGATACCCGGAGGCCCTGTGCCCATGTTCACGGAGTGGGGGCCGGGTGCACAGCATGGCAGCGTGCACGGGAGGACGCTGCGCTGCCCGCTGCCCAGACCCGGAGCACACACAGGAGGCAGGGCTCAGCTCGGCCATGGACGCCCGCCTGCTGCTCCGCAGCCACCAGTGCACAGGAAACGGGCAGCCTGGCCCACCTTCCCAGTGACAACTAGAGCCCAGAAGTCTGCCCACTTGTGTGACAAATGCCCTGTGGAGCAGGTAGGCTGTGTGGCTGGCCGACTGGCGGGACACAGGCTCCTGGGTGGTTCGGGGCCCCTTCCCCACCCACCCCATGTGCTCTTCCGCCAAAACCAACCCAGAGCCTGGATGCCACCCACATGTGGCTCTTTAGGGGTGCATGGAAGGTAGGTGGGGATTCTCCCCTCTCTGCCCCTTTGCTGGCCCCCAGCCCAAGGCCACCTTCCCCTTGGTGTGGACCCTGCGGGGAAGGGGAGGGGGGAGGACCTGCAGCACCAGAGGGCCTGCTCCCTCTCATCCTGGGCCCAGCCCAAGGCTGCCCACCTTTCCGGCCTTTTGGGGCTCCTTGCCCTTTATAGAGTCTCCCAGGGGAGGACACCTCCCTCCGAGGAAGACCACCAGGACCTCAGCTCCAAGAACCCCACCTCCTTCCTGCTCATGGGAGCTCCCCCATGGGTGCCTGAGAACCCTTTTGGGCACAGCCCTCGCCTCCTCTATCCTTCCCCCTCCCTCCCTCTAACTTCTCCCCTCCCTGGCCCTCCCCGCCCTGGAAGGGACCTGTTGAGATGAGGTTAAGATGATGCCCTGCCCGAGCCCGCATTCTTTGCTGCCATATGTGAGCACAGACCCCTGGATGCCCCCATGGGTCCTGGGCCCACTCCCCCCCACCACCACTGGGTCCAGCATTTGACCCCAATTAAATCTGCTGAGGCCGGAGTCCGGCTGGCCCATCCAGGGGACTGGTGCTGACAGTGGTGGTAATGTGACAAAGGGGGGCCTCAGTCCGTCCGTTCCAGTCGGGGGGCAGTGGGGCTACGGGGACCTCTGGCTCTTTTTGTTGTCCAGGTGACAGGCCCTCCACAGGGTCTGGGAGCTCAGGCTGGATCATCTGGGGGTTCCGTATGGGGCAGAGGGGTGGAGCAAGCAGATGGGCCCCAGCAGCTGCCCCAGCCCCGGGTCGGGGGCTGGGCCTCTCTTCCTTCCCACAGGAAATGGGGGTCTCTTGCTCCCAGGGAGGCCTCAGGGCCAGAGGGGAGGCGTGAGGCAGTGAGGGGCTCATGGGGCCCCACTGGTCTCCTTGTCTGAGGCGCACGACTCCTACTCCCCGGGTCCCAGTCCTCACCACGGATACTCCTCCTGGAACCCAGGGCCCCACCCCCACCCCGGCCCTAGGAGCGCCTGCCCCATGCTCCTGGCCTGATTTTCCTTCCTCTTTGCTTGTTAGGCCCCAGATGCCCACCTAGTCTCTTCCTTGGGTGGTTTCGTGGTGGGGGACGAGCCAAAGTACTTTGGGGCCCCCTGCAGGGCCATGCTGACACACAAAGGGTGTCCCTGGTGGGGTGGGCTCTGGGGATGGGAGGCCCCTGCACAGGAGGCTCCCAACTCAGCTCCAGGAGCCCCCTCCCCCGCTAGGCCACCGGAGGAGCCGGCTGGCCACAGGCTGTGGGAAGGCAGGGCAAGCACTGCCGGGCCGCGAGGGCCTGGGGCTGGCAGCCTCCCCTGCCCGAAGTGGCTCATCCCAGGGAAGGGCCCTGGTTTTGGGGAAATGCCCCTAAAGCCGGGGCACCGGGGACACCCTCCAGCCCACTGTCAGTGCTTTCAGTGAGGGTGGACGACAGTTTTAATTTGGACCTGAGACTGAGGTTAAACCCGGGTGGGAAGTCACTCCAGGCAGGAGATGGGCCGAGCTGTGGGGCTAACAGCAGGGGCTGCACAGCGGGGTTCCGGTTCCGGGTCAGCCCCATGCAATTGCCTTCACCTGAGGGCTAGAGAACGCATGTTTGCAGATGTCCCATCAGATGGGGTCTGGGGTGGGGCCAGCATCTGGGACAGCTTCTCCCAGACAGTCAGCAGGATGTCGGGGCATCGGCCAAGCCAGGCCAGGAAGGCGAGGGGCCACCCTCCCAGGAGCTTGGAGCAGCAGAGGGGAGCCTGGGCCCTGCGTGCTCCGGGGCCTCCCGGTGGGTGCTGGGCACCGCCCCACCTGCTGGCCCGCTCTCCTGCCCTGCACTCCCAGGCTTCCATGTAGCAGGTCCTCCAAAGAAGCGTTTGCAGGAGCCTCCGATCCTGGACTGAGTTACCTGGGGGGAGGCAGGGCTGCTGGCACAGAATGTTCCGGACATGAGGCAGCTCCCAGCCGCGACAGCAGCCCGAGGTGACTCCGCAGCCCGAGGCAGCTCCTGGAGTCGCCTTCCTGGAAGTTCCGTCCAGAGTCTGATTCTACCCATAGTCTGTGAGCCCTCAATAAACCTCCTTGTGCTTAAATCAGCTGGAGTGGATTCTGTTGTCTGCAGCAACCTTCCCCCACAACCCCCACCCGGTTCAGACCTCGCCCTGCGGAATCCCGCCCATCACAGACCTGGCTGTGCGTCGCAGCCAGACCCGCAAGCCCAGGGCTTGGGGAGCTGGGTTCTCGGGGGAGGCCAAACTGCACAGCCTGTGGGGCATGGCATGGAAGTCAGCAGCTGCCCTCAGGCCTCGGGGTGGCCCAGGGGCTGCCCACGGGGAGGGGGCAAGCGGCCACGAAGTCACTGGACAGCTTAGGCGGGGCCGAGTTGGCTCACAAGGGGCCCCGGCTAATTCTCGCAGTGGGCTGGCACGGTAGAGAAACCCTAGATGGTGAGGTCTGGAGGGGAAATGACGAACTCAGGAGTCAGCTCGGCTGGGGCAGAGTGGGGCTGGGATCTGGGCCGGGGCCTGGAAGTTCTCACTCTGGGAAACATGATCCCTGGAGCACTGTCAACAAACACAAGGAGGCGAGTCCTCCGTGCATGCGGCCCAGGCCCGAGGCAGCGAGGCAGAGCAGCCTGGGTTCGCAGTCCAGTCTGGGAGGCTGGAGCCAAGCACCTAGGCCCCTGCATCTGTAACCATGGCAACAACGCTGGTGGGAAAGAGCGGACTTGGGGTTGGCTCCCGGGCGCCGCTGGCGATGTTGGCCTGCTGTTCCTCGCAGAGAGAGGTGGAGACACAGCATCCCAGAGTGACAGGCTCACCGGGCTGCCCTTCCCTGGGAGCTCCGCTGCTCTTGGGGAGGAGGGGACATTGGAGGAGGGGCCACAGAAGCCTCAGAAGGAGAAACTGCCAGGAAGTAGGTGGGGAGTGGCCAGCAGGCTAGGAAGCTGATTCTAGAGGCGATGCAGCAGCCCATCCTAACAGATGGGGAGACTGAGGCACAGGGAGGTTTGAGGACTGGGCCAAGGTCATGGGAGCTGGGGAACGCTGACTTTGGTTGTGACCAGGCAGCGGTGGATGACAGATGGACGTGATGGACGTCTGGTGGCCATCCACGGTGCCTTAGCAGCCAGGCGGGGAGTTGGAGGAATTAAGATTTGGAGAAAACCGCAACAGGAGACCAGCCACCGTCCACTCTGTGCCCACTCCCGGCCACCAGAGCTGGGTCCTGCTGTCTCCCTGCGGGAGATGCTCGGACTTAGGGGTGCTGACCAGAGGGTCGCCCTGCGCATGGTCAGCAGGGCCCAGCACCCCACCAGGCTCCCTGTGCTTTGTGGTGTCTGTGGGAGTCACTGGGCTGAGGGCTCAGAATGGCCGCCAGCCTTCCTGCCCTTGCCCTGGGCTAAGAGGAGGTCGTCTCCGGATCAGAGCCTGCCAGTCTGGGCATCGCAACAATGAGGCCACCAGGCCTGAGGTTTTCCAAGCCAGGAGCTTGCGTTCTGCTGGCAAACCGAGAGGCAATGCCCGGCTGGGTTTTACCTGTTTCTCTGCCCACGAGAAGCACTCGGGCAGGTCCGGTCACCCCTCGGCATGGGTGGGGATGCTGGCTGCGGGACATGCAGTCCTGACTGGTGGGTGTAACTCGTCCCAGTTGGACCCTGTGTTCGCTGCTGGGATTTCCTCTGTTGCTCATGCCCTTTGCTCTCCGCCCCGTGTGGGGGCGCCGGGTGTCCGCTGCTGTGTTAGAGTTCCGACAGGAAGCACTGACTGCTGGAACCAATCAGGCCCTTGCGTGCGCCAATGGCGTCGCCCACCTGTGCTGGGACCGCACCTCCACTCACTTGTATCTTAATATCACATGCAGGTGACAGATACATGTATCGGTCCATCCTCTGCATCCTCTTCTCTTCCATTTTCTTCCCGTCTCACTTCCATTGTTTTTACCTTTAGAGAGCTTTCCTCCAAACAAGATAAAAAAATCTATTCTAGTATCTTTTGCTTTCCAATATCTGTGACATTCATGTTTCCAAATTATGCCAACACCCATTTCAATTGTTTAATTTTAGTATAATTTAATACACCTGGGGGCCAAGACGTTCCTCATATTTCAAAGCAGTTGGGCCTATTAATTCTCTGAGATGCTCTGTGATCACTTCATTAATTTAACAGGCAAGCCTTGGGGTTTTGATTGGCATTACGTGGATGGGAGTGTGCGCGGTGGAGGGAGGGGGTGTCGGAGGTGGCAAAGTAGAGGGCGCCTGCAGGGAGGGCCCAGCGACCCCGACGCCAGGGGCGATGACACGGTGAACACTAGATGACCTCGTCGGCAGCCCCCCACTTCCCAACCTGGCAGAGTGGGGAACAGGTGAAGCCTGTTCTGGGCAGGACCGACTGAACTGGCGTGACTCTGCAACATCTGGGTGCCCTTGGCCTTGTTCGGGGTCAGGAGGTCAGGAGCGGATGCAAAGACCTACACGGACAGCACTCCTCCGGAAGTCGTGACCCTGAAGAAGCAACTGCACAGGAAACTGCAGTTTGTACAAAGGGGTCCCTACAGCGTCACTCGCCGCAGTGAAGACCGTCGGAAAGGACCCCGCGGATGAACACAGGCGACAGCGAGGTGGAGTCAGCGCGACTGCCGCTGGGAAACGCCACACGCTCGCCCGGGGGACAGGAGCGTGGCACATGACAACGCGTGCAAATCCACACGGGGGAGCCGCACGCCGCCTCGCTGCGAACAGGACGGAGACCCGAAGGCCCGACTCGAAAAGCTGCACACATTGTAATGTTCTCTGCGTTTCCTCCTCCTGTTTGCATTCCTGACGTAAACGAGCCTTGATTTACGGGTTTTCTTCCCGCCGGGCAGAACAGGGACGGGGCCAGGTGCCGAGGTCGAGGCGGCGCTGTCTGATCTCTGAGGCCGCCCCGGGCTGGGCTGCGGTGGCTCCGTGTGTGTGTGTGTGTGTGTGTGTGTGTGTGTGTGTGTGTGCGCGCGCGCGTGTGTGTGTGTGCGTGCGCGCCACTGTGCTGGCGGCCCGAGTGTCTGCCTCCTTCCTCCCGGGCGCCAGTCCCCCCGCCCATGGCGAGCTGGACCTGGCTGTGCCACCCTCGGGGCAGAGAGAAAACTGGACGTCTGGGTTACCCCAGGGAGAGAGAAGCTGTGAAGGGTGCATGGTTGGGGGTCATGGACAGCGCCCAGTTTGCCCCTCCCCCAGGGGTAAACTGAGGCTCGGCAGGCTGGACGCTCGAGTGCCTCGGCCTGTCTGAGCCCCGGGCTCTCCACGGAGAGAGAAGAGACATGGGAGTGGGCTCAGAAGACGGTGGAGACCGGCGGGCCCAAATCTGCAGGGTGGCCGGTGTGGGCAGGGCAGGGGTACCCGGGGGCCGATGCTGGGGCAGCTCTAGCCTGAGGGCAGTTGCCAGAGAGGCCTCCTTGCTCCGGAGGCTGCTCATTGGCTCTGGCCCGGCCCCCTCCTCACCGGTGAGGCTGCCACGGCGCAGAGGGCCATCTGCGTTCCCAAAGTCACCGATTCCAGTGTCTGCCTCCCCTGAAGCCCCTCCCCCCCAGTCAACCTGCAGATGAACCGTCCAGGCTCAGGGTGGGGCGGGGGCTGTGGTCTGTGCTGCTAGCCTGGGTGTGCCCCCCGCCTCTGCAGGCAGGTCTGGGGGTCCTTCTGCAGAATAAGCCCTGAGACCATGAGCCACTGACCCAGCAGGCCCCCCAGGCTGTGATCCTCCTTTTGTCCCCCTGCCTCCAATCCGAGTTAAAATCAGCCCCCCCACCCCTAGCAGAGCCCAAGAGGCGTGGCTTGTCCCCCTGTTCCCCTCTCAGGGAGGCTGGGCAGATCGAGCCAATCAGAGCACAGGACCCTCACGTGGCTCTGACATTCCAGGTGAACCGCTGCACTCCTTTGGGGAGGCTCCCGTGCCACGGTTGGAACGCACACGTTTAGAAGCATCCCTGTTTCTCTGTGATTCGAGACGACCCGCCGTCCTACGTCTCATCCGGCACCCTCGGCCCACCCTCCTGGACCCGTGGGTCTGGAGCCACCGCCGTAACCCCCGGGCCCTGACACTCTGGGGCCCCTGGCTGCCCAGGGCAGGGACGTGGCCAGGCCTTGGGACGACGACGGCATGGGTGTGGGGCCTGCCTGGCAGGGACGCTGGGCTGCAGCAGAGGAGCCTGATTTGGGGTGAGAGGCACACCCTCTTTCTCCAAAATACTGAGTGTGTGCGTGGTGGTGGTGGGGTCCACACCTGTGGAATCACCCAGGGGGATGCAAGCGCCTGAGACCTCTCTCTGACAGGTCCCCTGGCCTGGCCCCAGAGCTCCTGCCGCACCGCCCCACCCCCGCCCTTTTCTCCCTGGGGAGGGGACAGCTTGGTCTGAGGCCAGTGCAGCCGTCCCCAAGGCATGAGGAGCACTCACTGGCCTGAAGTCAGCTCTAGGGAAACTCTCAGCCCTTGGAGGTCAAGAGGGCCTGCTCCGAGCCTGCAAGTCCCAAATCTGACTGCCCTGGGGAGGAGCAGGCTCAGGGCAGCCCTGCCCTCACGTGGACGTGACCGTGGGGCGCCAGGACTCCAGCTGGCTGGAGCTGCCCCCGAGCTCCGGCCGTGTGCCCCTGGACGAAGAATCCCTAAGCGTGTTAAGGCACAAAGGGCAGAGCGTTCAACCAAGCGAGGGGCCCTCCTGCCCCTGAGCTGGGGCTCCCGCCTCCCGTCCTGCGGGGCATTCGCTCTCCCGGAGCGGGCCGGTGTGGACGGTGGCATAGGCCTGGCCTGGCTGCCACCGGCGGTCTCCTGGCTCTGTGTGGACCCCACGGGCCTTCGCGGCAGAGCCTCGGCGTGGAGCACTTCCCTTCCGCCCGGAGCCCTGCCCGTGGTGCCGGCACCTGCCCTCCCCCACGGGCTCCTGAGTGTGGGTGTCCTGTTCACCCCGCAGCGACCCCAGGGTGGCGGGGGCCCCCACCTGGCGTAGGGTCCGGGGCACGAGACAGAGGGAAGGCGGGTGAGCGCTGGCCCAAGGAGGCGGCCCAAGTCCACCCTGCACACCCACCGGCTGCGGGGTCAGGGGAGGCAGCCTCACCCCCCGC